ATATATACATAACAAAGAATTATATATATATATATACATACATATATATATACATTTAAACGTATATATAAACACATTCGAAAGAATTCCATCATTGCCATCTATATGAAATCAATCTCCAGTCAATTTGTTTGTAGTTTTATTAAGAACTTTCCTGTAGTTCATTTTGAATCATCTATCGGGTATTGTACAGCGATAGTATCATACCTCATGCTCCTTTGAGGATTAATTTATTGAATTGTACATACTTTTATATTTTCGTAGCAGAACAAATGAATGAATATAATGTGCTGATTGTCATTGCTCAATCAAAGAAAGAAAAAGAATAAATATTTTATATATAACGTCTTTGATAACAAAAGAAACATGGCCTTGTTATTCCGATACACGCGTAGCTCCTGATTACAACAAAATGAAAACGACAAACTAAGAAGTCTGCACGTGTATAATATACGAATTATATTTCTAGGCATCTACAGAGACATGTACATAACACAGTTCAGAATATATTTGTTTCTCTTTTTCTTCCTAATCTTTTTTTTTATCGGTTCTGTGCTTATTTTTCCCTTGAATTTTTTACATAAGCGAATAATTGAAATAATCCGCTATTCTACGCTAATTCACGGCACAGATTCATTTCATTCTGCATGAGAATTTAAATTAATCTGTTTATCTGAGTATAAGAGCGAGAATAGTTACACAAAGGTACGACGTGTCCCACGCGTACACGCGCTTCCATTTAACTTACACACATCACACACACGTACAGACAACGTGGTTCCTGTGTTCACATACGCATGTATTGCACGGCGCAGCGATGGAAGACACGTGCTTGCGCTCAAACTGAGTGACAAGTGCAAGGTATTGTTCCCAATTACTTTCACATACCGTTAGTCAAGAAATGTGACTAAGATGATATTAAGAGAGCCATTGCTTGGCCGCCACCACTCCAGGATGAAATTCGTCGATACATATATTACCCATTTAATTATGTATCTTTAACAATTAGAATAATTGCTTACGGCTGAGAGATGATATTGAGAGAGAACGACTTCCAAAGTTGAATTGCCCGATCGTGTCCAATTGTTGGACTCATCAACTGAACCGAACTCTTTGATTTTGAAACGTTACTATTAGACGTTCACTTCGCGCCTTTAATAATAAATAAAAACTGGATTGTTAAGAAATAATGGTAGACTTTTTAACGAGTCGTTAAAATAGGATATGATAGCATTATTTCAACGCGTATAATAACAATGTTTGATATTTTCACGTTAGAAAATGCATGTATGCCCATTTCTTTATTTTGAGCTTACTTTACTATAAGTTACGTTTTACAATCATATATTCATATATGTGAATCCATGAACAAACAGCAATTGTATTTAAGAGCGTATACTTAATATGAACATAAAATAAACTGACAAAATATTCTTTCTTTTCACTAGTAGCATGCTGGTACTTATCGTAATTTTCAACACGTAATTTCCATATTTTGTTGACAATTTTATAACACATATATTATAACATATATAAAAAAGTAGAAGTTCTGTAAAATGTATTGTACAGCTAACAATGTGACATTTGTTTATATTCATATCACTTATATATATTCGTTTTTTCTTGATCAATTTCTTCATAAACTGTTGTAATTAAAATATCAAAGAATTTTCGAAATGAGTACGAGTACACAAGTGAAAAACCATTAGAACAAATTGAATTGTTATTATTTATTTAATGTATAGTTACATTTGCTTCCAATTCATGTAACACATTAAAGGTACATTGTAATCATAAGTTTCATAAATGTAAATTTAAAAAAATTTTTTAAACGAGAACAAACCTGGAGTGGTGCGCGGCACTACATTCTAGGATTTTATACATATATTAGAATGGGAATGTATATAAATTTTTAATCTAATTATAATGTGGAACCTTTTTGAGGCATGTTATGTTTCCTCGTGTACAATATTACTTCAAAAATTTCAGCATTTGTGAGGGATGATATTTTAATTTTTTAAAGTCTTTTTATATATGTATTTTTTTTTAATTTTATATATGCAT